ATTTAGAAGAAGCTAATACTCGTATATTTTACTTTTATTTAAATTTAAAGCAAAAAGCACATCTTAAGAGACATTTTAAAAAGATTGGTATATTATTTTTTTTCATCACTCATCGTGTAGTCATTGTACACGAAAAATGTAAACAAATTTCAAATTCGCTTTGAAGTCTTAGTAAGTCTAAGGTTTAAGCAACTGGATTTTGTAAACGTAATGCTTACCTTTTGTTTAAAACAGAATGAAAAAATGAAAATATTTTACTTTTATGCACGGTCAAAGTAGAAAGACTACTTCTACCCCTGTTCAAAAAAGCGCGGGAAACGTTTAAAAAAAATATAAAACTGAAAGAAGTATGGCAGAATATCAGCCCAATAATCAAAAATTTCTTGTGTTTAATTGTCCTTGACCAATTCTATATGCTTTTTTAAACTTAATGAATAATTTTATTTTTTATATTTGCTGAAGGGGAGATATGAAATGAGAATTCATTACTCCTGATATTGAATAGTGGTCAGTCAACACGAGATATCAAAGTTGTTTCCTTTTTGAACATCCATAATTTGGCAGTTGCTAAAAGGAAAAATGCCTCTTCTTTTTTTTTTTTTTTTTTTTTTCTCTCTCTCTCTGGTTCACACTCAAAAATTTCAAACACGTCTTTATTTAATAAAAATAAAATAAATGTGTGGCCAACAGCAACGAGATTAATTTCAAAATTGAAGTTAAAAAAAAAGTTTAGACTTCTTTTTTTTTTTTTTTTTGTCGAATCTGAAAGAAAATAACGTTTTATTAAACTATGAATGACCAATTCTCAGAAGAAATATTTTTGGCAAGATGCAGACCGAATTTTCCGTATGGTCACATTCGATATTGAATAATAATTCTTTTTTAGTGGAAAATGTCTTCAGGGTTTTAAGAATTTTTTTGAAGAATGTTTCCCAAATTAAAAAAACTATAACCGTTATCGAAAAGCGGAGTATTTTTTTTTTCTTCTTTTTAATAAATAACCTATTGAATAAAATATTAACTCATTCATTAATTAATAAGCTTTGGAGATTTCGTTTAATAATTCTAATTTTTGGTAAATATTTTGAAACCGGTGGTGTCGAAGTTTCGCTTTCATTGCGGAAAAAAGTATCCATTTTTGGACCTTTGGTGGTAACCGATTTTTTGAAAACCATGCGGAATAAAAAATTTTCTTTGCCATTAGTGATTTTTTTTTCTTTTTTAAATTTGGTAACTTGCAATTTCAACTTTAGATTTCTGAACTCATTTTTAGGTTAATGCTTATTTTTTTATGATCAAAAGGACACAGAATAAAAAAAAAAATAATAAAAACAACAATCTTCTTACTCGTTCTGTTCACTTCCTGTTTCTAATCATTTACTTCCGTTTCTCTCTTTTTTTCCAATTATAAATGATAAATCCTTGGCATATTTAAGTAAATCTATTTTTAAATGTATCTTTTTTCTTTTTAATGAAATGTATTTTCTATTTCTTTTATTTGCCATATATTTTGTTGAATATAGCAGAAGGTTTGAATTTTTCCAACATTCTTACATGAGTAATGAGAATGTTGTGGGGGGGGGAATCATATTTTCCTTGTTCGTCATATTCAGCGAACAAATGAAAGGTTGCTATATATATATATATATATATATATATATATAAATAAATTCTGTGTGTAATTTAATTGCATCGCAATTATGAGGTGATGACGTTTCGTACGACTGCTAAAACTGCTTGTGAAAACCACGTGGCTCGTTCACGTCTCCCGTGAACGGAGAGCACGTTGTTTTTGTCATTAAAACTCAACAGGTTTATAGTTGATTAGTTCTTATAGTTGACTAAAACAGTAGTACTACAAAGGTATAAGAAAATAAATATTTTTGTTTATTTATTTTGTCTTAGCTTCGTTACGTTCTGTGCAGCGAACGGTTTTCGCGGGTAGCGTGACATAAAGTTTAAGTGAGACGTTTTTTTTTTTTTTTTTTTTTTTTTTTTTAGTTAAAAATGTAGTGAAAGAGATGATCAGTTACCCAGGAAAAAAGTTCGTGTTTTGTGTGCGATATGCCGAAGAAACATTACCAAAAAGTAGTCAGCAAAAATCTTATAGCGAAGAAAAAGCTGTATATCTACGGATAAGTGGTATTCTATTCACTTACCAACTTTCCCTATACAGCTTTTTCTTCGCTATAAGATTTTTGCTGACTGGTTACGCATTGTGATTTGAGATAGTACCGGCGAATCGAGTTTTCAGCATTTCTTTCTGCCTCCGATATTCGAGTCTGTACTTACAGTGATTTTTCTTTGTGTTGTGGAAGTAATCTGCGACAAATACTTCCTTTGCTTTCAGAACGACACTTGTAACAAAATCATAGATGGTTCATTTGTATTTTTTAATGACGCTTACTATTTTCTACTTTATCATTTCTTTTTAGTATAAAAAAAATCATATTCTTCGCGCGAACATTTCCTTAGGTTTGTAAATTTTGTTTTGTAAAAAAAAAAAAAAAAAAAAATTATTTTTAAAAATTCTTTGTAGGATGGGTGATGTAAATTCGGCATATTTGAATTTTCCACCAAACAGGGGGGTGGGGGTGTAATGTTGCCCTTTTGGGGGCGGGGCTTCTCATTCAAGAAGCTCCTCTGATCATGGACTACATTACCTGCTACTTTAGGTCTGTACGGGACTGGACATTATAATTTCACCCCAGACTATTACCCCTAAATTGCAACTCTGCATTGCAGTGGCCAGCCACTGGGACCAACTAGCAATCAACAACGCACTGACTGCTTGGTCGCTTCTCATGCTGACCTCTACCCCGCACTTCTAAACTCGCACAGACAAGACTCGAGCTTCCGTTTAACGCTGTTTTGTTTGATATCACTTTAGGTACCCATAAACAAAAACAAAAAAAAAAAAAAAAAAAATGCCCAAGCTATGAGTTTTATTGTCAAAATGTTTGCTATTATAAAGGGGCACTCGGAAACAACAGCAAAGTAATTCGAAATTTTGGTTAAAATAAAAATTGTTTTTCTTGCATCAGTGGATGGGTCAAAGCCAAAGATTAGTATTGGGAAATTTAGCGTCTTTTTTTTTTTTTTTTTTTTTTTTTTGTTACCGCAAAAACAACATTGATTGGAAATTTCTAGCAAAAATCAAATAATTGTCAGATTTTAATGAAATTTTCAGTACTTATTCACAAATTAAGGATTTTTTTTTTTTTAATCTGTTACCCATGCTTACTAAATTTGATGGAATTTAGAGAAATTAAGATTTTTAGCAACTTCGTATTTATATTAGTTAAACACAGTACTCCTTGGAAAATTTAAGTCAATTTGTTTTTGGCAAACAAAAACACCATTTACCGAAAATCTGCTCTGAATCATAAAATAAAGATGAAATAAAACTATCCAATTATTTAATTGGAAAAGCTTTTAATTGCTTTTTTGAATAATATATATAAAGGACATTATCTTTAAAACTTTTTCGATGAATAATGAATTTTTACAAGAATTGCTTTAATTTTTAAAAAATTAAGAAATTTCTTAAGTTTTAAATCTTTTAAAATTCTGTATTAATTTCAACCTTTTAAGTGAAAACTACATTTACTAATCATAAATGGAGCAGCTTAATACAAATAATCATCCACCAATATTTTTAAAAGAATTTTGTATATTTTTTTTATGTGCTGAATTTTGTACAGGCAGCCATACACAACATTATCAGAAAATAAGAGCGATAACTATAAATTTAAAGCCAAGATTTCTAAAATTTAATAAAACATGAGATTATAGAGGATATTTTCCTAAATTTTTATTAGATTACTGAGTATTTAAAAATTATATAAAAAAAGGTGATTATCATTTTATTAGGTATGACATTTTTTTCTGGAGGTCCCTACTTTAATCCCTGCTCAGTTGTTTCAAAGTTTATCAGATTATTACATTCTCCTTACGTTTATTTAACAATTTGTCTGGCTGCATACAATAAATGTAGTTCAAGCTTTGCAGCTTCATATATGAAGTCACTTTGTAGTTGGCAGCTATTTCACGCTTACCTTAATAAATACATGTCACCATTGAGAGGATATTTTACTGTGTAATTGGATGTCTGGTTTGAAAATAACTTTATACATTTTGTACAATAGTATTATTCATTCTTAACATTGTTTTGTTTTTAATCTTTTGTTCATTGGCTTTATTTGAAACTAGTTAATAAATCTATTTTTTTTTTTTTTTTTTTTTTTTTTTTTTTTGTAAATCAATATTTAATAGAAATGACCAAACATTTGCATTAAAAACTGTTAATGAAATTTTTTTGTGTACATAATGGCAATTTTGAAAATTAATTTGTTTAACTTGGGTAATATTTGTATAATTTTGTTAAAACATTTTCTGTGAATTACAACTTAAAAAGTAATTGTTCTATATTTCCTTCTTTTCTGTGCCAATAAATCCATTTTCAAATTTGGATCTTGTATCTTTGTATTACTAAACACTTAATTTCAACTTAGAATTATATGCTTATTCTTTCTTATTTATGGATAATGGAGCTTTGTTTTTTTTTTCTTCTCCTGTTTGATGCTTCAGGCATCTTAAATTTTGACAACGTTCAGAGTTTATCTATTTTGATCATCATTCACTGTTGCCCCTTAATCTTATTTGAACAACATCCAAATTAATTAACTTCAATGATTGATGAATTTCAGTTATGACCATTTTGCTTAAGTTTATATTTTCTTGATCTCAGATGAACACCTGGAAATTTTCCAATGTATTTCAGTTAAATTTTCGATTTCTTAATTCATAGTTTGGATATGTGAAAAATGCCAAGAGAATGTGTGTTAATTTTCCTAGATCTTAAATGCATGGCCCAGTTGGCAGCAAAGGAAGCCTTTGTAATAAATGATAATTTGTGACATTACCAGTAATTTAAATTTGAAGCATTTTTGTATTGTCAATTTTACAAAATTTGATGCTATTTTGTTTCTGTTTTCCAGGGGGCAAACGGGATGAGACGCTAATGCTTCCATTGAATTCCTCTCTTAGTGTAACGCTAAATCCAGTTCAGGTGAATATCTTCTCTTTTTCTCGCTTAAAAACTTCATTGTACCATTGGGGGCTGGGGGCTTTTAAACTTTAAAAATTAATTTTTTGTCACAAAATAATGACATTTCCAAAATTTTAGTCTTAATAAAATTTTATTTGTTTTAATTTTTTGTTGAAGTATGAAGTTGTCTGATATGACATCCCAAATTTAATATATTGGAAAAATATATTTACCCATTGAGGAAACTGAAACAAGTAATTTTTTTTTTTTTTTTTCATCTGTTGGTTGTCATAGATGAAATAACTCATCTTAGCCAGTCATCATTCTAATGTCATAATCCATCTTAGAAATACGTTGTCAGATTTTTATTATGCAAATCAATATTTTCATAATAAAACTGGTATTAACCAATCATTATTATTAAAAAAAATTCAGGATATTAGCAATATATTTTGTGATTTTCAGTTTATATCTATCTTTATTGAAAATATTGAACTTTTGTTAGGAATCACTTTTTTTTTTTTGCAAATAAACTAAATCCAAAAGCCAGTCCATAGAAACATATTTGAACCCATTTGCCTATATACCTAAATAAGTTATTTTACATATTAATATAAATGCCTTGATTTTTTTTTTTTTTCTTTTTATAACATTTTTCACTAATTGATTTTTTGTCAACTTTTCTACTTAACATTGCTTGCAGAATTTCTGTTGCTTCCCAGATACTGTTTTTCATTTTCATATGCATGTATTTTAATGATAGACCACAAGTTTTTCTATTGGAATAATATCTGGAGAGTCTGGGAGCCATTTAATTTGACAGAAACTGTGATAAAAACTCTTCTTTACCAGATCCTTTACAACAGAATTGGCACTGATAGTGCAAATTAATGTTATAAGCTTTCAAGATAATTTTGGCTTTTATTGCACAATTCCATTAAAGATGCATCAGTGTTGCAAAAAATTCTAATATTTAATAATTCTGTGACTTGAAGAGTTTATATAAATTTTTGCAGATGCTGAATATTTTTTTTTATTTATTTTTTTTTTTTAATTCAAGTACTGCAATGGTACAGCAGAAAATACCTCCCATATAATGGTAAGACATTAGTGGCAATTGTGTCTTCATCAAGCATGTCTTACCATTATGTGGGAGATATTTCTGCCACGCTCTGTTGTACATCCATATGATGATAGAAGGGATGCAACTTTCTCCATTAAGAAATATATTTGACTTGTGGCAAACGAATTTAAATTTTACAAAACTATTTCAGTTGTCAGTGAATTAATTAAATTGCGGGCTTTGAGGACATTTAAATTGAATGATTTTATTTTATATACATACACACACACACACACACACACACACACAAAATTATTTATTGTACTAGTAATAATGCAAATACATTATTAGGACAAATTAACTAGGTTAATACAAATTGTTTACTTTTTGAGGCTGACTTATCAGTTCCATTGGCCTTTCATGAATTCAATTCCGCTGCCCAATACTTGCCTACCTGGTGATAATTCATTACAATCCAGAAAAATCATAACTTGCATAATATTTGCTGAAAAAAATTGATATGGAATCCATGGGATAAAACTTACAAAATTTAAAAAAAAAAAAAAAAAAAAAATACAAGTTAAAATTATTTATTTTTTTAATTTTTTTTTTTTTTTTACAGCTGCGTGCAAAGACCACGGTAGCCATAAGTAGAGAATTTGACAAGTCCCGCATGTGGTTGAATTCAGTGTATGTATTTTATTTTATCCCAATAATATTTCATTCTTTTTTGCTCTTTAAGTACTTTATCACTTTGAATTGATTTTTAAATGTTTACAGTCTTAGGGCATTCGTTTCTAATTATTTGTCAACATTATTTATGAGCTTTAACAAATACATATGTTGCAGAAATCTTAATAGCCTTTTTTAAACAAAGACCACCATTTGTAAAAAAAAAAAAATATATATATATATGTTTCTTTGCTAAAATATCTGCTACATTTTTTTCTTAAGACTTGGATTTTTACAACCGCATTACTGAAGTTGGTAAATTCCCATATAGTCCAGATTTGGTTCTCTGTAGCTTTTGGCTGTTCAATCAATCAGTTAAATTTCATATGGGATACTCGCTTGAATGATTATGTCTTGATTCATGGCTGACTAGTTTTTCCTGCAGTAGGTTGCGGTTTCTGTCATAGACCAGTTACCAACCAAGGTTAAAGGATCCAGTCTTGTCATGCTAGTCAACTGATAGGTGGGCGAGAAAAGATGGATTCATACCTTTCTTAAGGGTATTTGCTCACACAACAAACTAGAGTTTGAATTCAGTTCATCTCTCTAATTTCTCATTCTGTGCCATTATCAATTACATTACACTGCACATGGATGAAATTAAGAATAATGTATTGATGCAACTGATGACCGTCACAGAATAAGACTTTTCAGACTGTTTTAAAGTGGAAAGGATATTAAGATAACTGTATGAGGACTCAAGAGGATGAAGATACTATGGCTACTTTCATTAGTATTAAATGGATGTATTGTTTCTGAACAAACTTTGTACTTAGCAATAATTCTGACAATAAGTATTTATTTTAATGTAGGATTTTAATGACTACTATCTTAGCTTAAAAATTTAAAGTACATAAATTTGTCTATGAATAATGGAATGATGAACTTGATTGAATAAACAACTGCAGTCAAGATCAGTCACTGTAAACTTCACAATTCATTCATTAGCTGCATTGTATGTGCTTTGCTAGGACTGCATACAGAATTTATTATATTTTTTTTTAATCATTTCACTCCAAGCAAGGCGATAATGTCACTAAGATGAAAGGGGGTTACTGGGAGTGAAAAAGAATGGCAAGACTTTAAGAGAAGGAATCAGAAATCCAATCCTAAACAGGAAACTAGTGCTTATGGCTTTATGGTGTTGAAACACTAGTTTCCATATCACCTAGATGGGTTCCTGCTTGGTAATACCAGGTGTAAAGTTGATTATGAATGATTTAATGGGTAATTGCTTGGAGAGTTCTCATTTCAGTTGCAAATGTTTATATTCATTTGCAGAAACTCTTGGGAAAGGTATGAATCTACATCTTCTCCCCAGCTATGGGTTAATTAGTAAAATTTGTATCACAAAATTATTATCACCAAAAAAAAATCTTACAATCTAAAAATATTTTATAGAAAACAAAAAAAAACTGTTCAAAAGACAAAAGTGTAAACTGAGTGATAGGTGAACCTATTTACTCCTATTTTGAATTCAGAGTTGTCCTTCGCCTAGACTGGTTGCCAAACAAGGCTGAATAGTTCAATCTGCCATATTACATAATACATACTTGGTCAATAAAGTTAAATTTCTGAAATGTTAATGAATGTAAAGCCATTTTCATAAAACCTGCATAATTTATATATATATTTGATAAATGTAAGAATTATTTCACTTTTATCAATTACAAAAACCGAACCGTCTATAGCTGCTTTTCATCCCTATTTATTTGGTCTACAAATCAACTCTTTCCAAATATTTCTATTGTTAATTTATTATTCTCAATTAAAGAGTTTTCTTTTTCACTCAGCTTTAAATTTCCTTCTTTCAGAGAACAAAACATTGACAATCCAAGGCTTCAGAATGTTTTTCGAGAGAGTGAGTACATTGCTTTATATACCACAGGACCAAGTTGACACTTATATCCTGACCTTGTATTCTTTGTGGATTCTGTTACATAATATTTTGCATTTTCGGTAACTAGTACGAGAGAAATAATTCTACCAGTTTTGGTATGGGTTTATGACGTACATATGAAATGAACTCTCAGGCAATGACTTGGCATTTTCAAACTCTGTATAGCTGTTGAGTAGTATATTATTGTACAATTTTTTTTTTTTATTTTGACAATTTGTAATTGGCTGATAAGACAGATTAATTCTAGGATATTTTTAGGAAGAAAAGTGAGCATGAAAAAAGGCATGAAATAAAATTATAGAAATTTATATTAAATTCGGAAATGTCTGATTCTAAAATCAACTTTTATTCTTGAATGAATGTATTTAAACAGTGTTTAAATAGGCCAAAATAGGAACTCTGAAAATCTGTACATTTGTCATTGAGTTACAAGATTTTTTTTTTTGTATTTATGGTAAAAACTCTAATGTTTGGGTTGTGGAAAACTCTTAATGTGTGTGTGTGTGTGTGTGTGTGATATACTTTTTTTTTTTTTAATGCCCTTTACCTAAAATATAAGGGCATAATATACTAAAATTTGTTTTTGTCTTCAAGATCAAACAAGAATTTCAGTTGTGAGACTTTCTAATGTTATTTTATTTGTGTTGCCCACATATATAATCTGTCTTGCATATATACACACATATGATGATGTGCTTTATATTTTCCTCCCTCAGTCAAACAGCGAGCTTATCGATGTCATAGTGAAAAGAATAATTGTGGTAATAGAGAGGACATGTTGAATTGGCACATTCACATATGTTCTGAAAACAATTTCCCAACTTCAGCAGGACTTGCTTCTTCTGCAGCTGGTTATTCATGTTTAGGTAAGTAAATACTTATCTATCTCTTCATTCTATTTATATATTTTATTTACTTTTTATCATGGTTGATATAGTAAAAGCACCATTTTATGTATTCTGCATATGTGGGTAAGCTTAATTTTCTAATCTTGTTTAGATTTCAGTACCTGAACAAAAAGTAACAAGAATGAGTGATTTTTATTTATGAGGTACGTGCCATTAAAAATGACGACCATTGTTAGAAAGTTTTCTTTTGAATGAAGTGGAGATCCAGAACTCACAACTAAAATAGAGTACAATGAACCAGTTAATCAAACCACTCCCTTTATATTTTTTTTTTTTTTTTTTTTTTTTTTTTTTTAATTTCATCCCAAGCAAGGTGACAATGCCACTAGGACTAATGTTTGGGATTACAGAGAATGAGAAGACTAGCGAGGAAAAGGACAATAAAAGAACAGCTTTCAGGAAAACAGAAAATAACAATTGATGTTGCATTTAAATTTTTGAATATTGTAGGTGGCAGGGAATTAAACCAGAAAGGTGCTCCACAAGTGAAAAGCGAGAGAAAAAAGATATTAGAACTGATGATTGCAAATCTATACCTTTTTACTTTCAATTTGAGAATAATAACTTTTCAAAATGGAATGAATTATTTTGAGTAAAAAAAAAAAAAAAATGGATAATTAACCAAGCAAATTTGTATTTTTTTTTATTTATTTAAACTTCCAAGTTAAAATTGTTTTTAAAAACTGAATTTAATTTGATAAAGCATTTATTTACCTAAGTATCTTCAAATATAATGAAATACTTTACCCAAAATTTTATGAATTTAAATTTGTATGAACTGAAAGCAAAACTCATAAAGTTTTTAATCTATTTTTTGAATCATATATAAAGGTTGAAAAATCTACTAAAGTGTTTCTTAAAATTCAATACTATGTCGAAATCATATAAGACTGAAAAAAAAAAAGAAAAGAAAACTCAAATTCTGGTCGTCCCTGAATCAGATGGAGATTAGATGTCAAAAGCTAGATAAATTGAGGTTCCTCAGGCAACTGCTTTCAGGTGGATATCCCAAGGTGAAATGGAAGACTCAAGAGGTGGACAAAGGTTTGGGAAAGTGTCAAATGAGCAAAAGATTTTATGCGGAACAAAATTGAAGAAAACTCTACAATAACGATTAATGAGCTATATTTATCATAAATTCAATTTTAAATTGTCTGAGTAGACTTCATATTGACACCTGGACATCACAGCTGTTTGAGGTTTCCTACAGACCCACTGAACTTAAATAAAGTCAATTCAGGTTTCCTATGGTAAAAATTTTCTTTCCCAAGTGAAAATCATCACAAAAATAGCAAAAGTCATTTTGTCACAGCTTATTTTCTCTCAAAATATGGGTTTTCATACTTTTTTAGGGGTAAAATATTGAAAAATGACTGTTTTATCATCACCTAAACGAATATCAAGGAAACTTTTGATCTGAACCCCATGAAACTAGGTATTTTCTGAAAGCAAAAGATATATTCTTTCATTTAAAAGTAAAATTAGCTGGTGTAAATGACTCAAAAATTTTTTCAGTGGGTAAAATGTGAAAAAATAGTGAAAATTTTGCATTTTTTTCTTGTTCTAAACAAATATTTCCCCCATTAATGGGAAATTAACCATTTTTTTTTTTTTTTTTTTTTTTTGAAAATCAGAAAGCCTAGATCATAATCAAACTATTTCAGGCATAAAATTGAGAGTTTTGAAGGAAATCAACATTCCTAGGGGTTCAAAAAATGCGACAAAATCCATTGTTAATTTTCAATTATGACTGCCAAGGGTTAAAAAAATTGACACCTGGCCACGGAAATCTTTAGTAAAAGGCAAGAGATTTATCTGCAATTCCTAACCACCAGAAACCAAAAGTTTTTTTTTTTTTTCCTAAAAATAGTGATAAGGGAAAATAAACTTAATTGACTTTGACGTCTAGGTCAAAGGCCAGCCAGCCAGCCAGCCAGCCAGCTAGCAATAAACGGACGGCAAACCTTAGAACAAGTTGTAATAAAACCCACCACTCCCAGATAAAAGCAAAGGGTGAATAAAAAAGGGTTCACAATTACTAGGGCTTCATATAACCTATGTTTGAACAATGGCTTGATAAGTTTTGTTTTGTTTTTAACACCCCTGACCCGGGTGATGACAACAACACTTAGCAGAGAACATTGTTTTTTTTTTTCCTTATTTTTGTATTTCCCATCGCCGGTCCATTTAGCCTTTCTTTTTATTCAATGATGTTCATGCCAAATGAAAGAGAAAGGAATGAATTTTGAATGATGTTATTTTTGAAGTTTAAAATGAATATTTTTTCATTAAAAAAGGGGATTTTTCTCAGAAAAATTGTGCATAATTTCTTAATGCTAACCGCCGAAAGACATTTTCCACAGCCAAATCGAAGATTAATTACCAGTGAATAATTCCATGTGCAAAAATAGCCGTCTGATCCTATAAGGTCGCCCTAAAAGGTCCAGAAGTTTACTAATTGATCAAAACCTGTTATAATTGTATTTTTTCACGGTCAGTTTCCATTATTTCATCTTGATATTATCATTTTCGGACAGCCAAGTCATCAAGATTCAGGAAAACACTTTGACATAGGTTTTTTTTAAGAACTTTACATTCTATGAGGTGTTTAAAATGTTACTGATGAATGAGATTTTTTTTGCGCATATTTTGTTTACGCTACCATGTTGGATTTTCCTATATGACAAAAAAAACAAGGGTTTTAAACAGCTGTGACATGCTTTTATAAACTCTGAAAAAGCATCAGATTTGAGCCAGACACAAACATGTTAGAGAATAGGTTTTGTGGAGGAACTCCTTGCATTTCAAGGCCAGAACTTGCCAATCCTCTTTCTGGATGAAACCAACATCGATATCCAAATTTCAAGGAGTGACGGGTGATCTCAAAAAGGTACAGGGTGCAGCATAAATGCCAACATAGATAAAATAGTCTGTATCAGCAACTTGGGCCTGATTTACAGTGAAGTCAGGAAGGCATCATACACAAGTAACTTGGCATGTGAATTTGATAAAAAGGCCCTGCATGTAGCCAAGGAAAAATATAGTCGATCTGTCACTCTTATCATTGACAATGCACCTTGCCACTCAAAAATCAAATTCATTTTAGATGAGGAGAAAATTTCTGATGATCAAATTTTGAGGCTAGGGCCTTACAGCACCATGCTTCATCTGATTGAGAATGTTTGGTCAATTTTCAAAGCTGAAATAAAGAAGAAATACCCAAAAAATTCTAATGAGAGAAGGGTTAACCTTGAGCATCAAAGAGCATAGCCTCCAGACACTAGAAAATTATATAAATGGTGCCACCAGCAGTGTGCTCAAATTTCATTGCAGGCATCCAAGGCAAAATCACGAAAGCTTTTAAATCTGGAAGACATGACATTTTAATTAACATTCTTTATTTATACTTGAAGATTCAATGATTTTCTTCTATAGAACTATTTTTTATATTTTCTATTTATTTGGTTAAAACATTAAAATTATCAAATTTAAAGTTAGTGTTCCATTTTGAAGGTTATTCTCAAATAGAAAGTGTAAACGTATCGTACTATGCTTAAATTCATGCAGTCGAGGCACTAAGGAGAAAAACTCACCAGAACAATAGCCATGAAAATATTTTTTAGAAAAGACATAGGAAAGCCATGTCACAATGACAAGAAAGTGATTGAAGTCAAGATGTCTGGTCATGATCTATACATTACAGACCTCCTTGAATTTTGTCAAAAATCTAGAGATATATTGTAAGAGCATTATTCAATGAATGAATGGTAGATTTATAAATGTGCAAGAAGGATTCTGATGAACAGAATTGTTTTAGCATTATAGAAATCACTTTTTGCTCAATACCTTTTCATGGGAAAAAAATTGTTTAACAGTGACTCAAAATGGAAACCCCCTCTAAAGAAAAAAAGATTAGCTATGATGACAGCAATTTCAAAGCCCATCTCAAGACCAAGTTGAAGCAAGACGATCACTTAATAGACAAAGATATGTTTGGCAAGAAATAAGACTGCAGTCTAAGAAACATAGTAAGGGAACGGATTATGTGGTTCATTTTGCTCAGGAACTAATTTTATATAAGTTTTTATCTGTATTTATTATTAAAACTACTAAGTTAAGTAATACCTCATAAATTTTCTAACTTGATTTTCCTTCCTTGCTACTATAGGATGAGAGATGAAAGATAAATATACAATGGTAATGATAATATTAGCTGTTTCCTTCATAAAAACATTTGGCATTCATTAAGTAGCCAGTACAACTGATGAATGTTGAAATTTATAAAAAAAAACAAAAATTTAAACAATTTTTCAGGAATGTTTATAATATTTAACGAGTACTTTTTTTTTCTGCCTCTTATATTTGCTATAAGAAGCATTCTGTGTCATGTGATTTCACAGTAACAGCAAAATGGTGATTGGTTGAATTAGTTTACTTTTTTTTTTTTTTTTTTTAATTCCAGTAACTGAGTTAAGTTACTTACTTTTTGCCAAAGAAAGTTTACTTTTCATTGAATTACTCTTAATATATCTATAAGATTTTTTTATGTTTATTGTTCTAGAACTTTTTTGTCCATAATTTTCAATGATTACTTTTATACTTGTTTGCCTGTACTACAGAAACTGAACTTGCTGACATTGCACCAATCTGGAATAATTGCTTAATTTCATTTTCCTCTAATAGAAATTATAAATAACATTTAAGTCTTATTTTCTTATTCATTTTTAGTTTCAGCTTTGGCTTATTTGTTTGGAGTTGATGGAGAAATTTCAGACATTGCAAGGTAAGAAGCTACTTATTATTCCCCAGTTTTTAAATTTAATTTAATTTTTTTTTTTTTTTTTTTTTTTTTTTTTTTTGTGCTTTGTTATTTTTATAAATTTTAAAGAATGTAATATTTGACTTATAACTTTGATAATTGAATAAAACTATCATATTGGACATGTAAGTTCTGCTTAACCTATATCTTTCTGCTGTTTAAATTTGTATATAATTAATAGGAAAGGTTTGTCACTTAACTGATGTTAGCTTCAGCATTTCAACTCCATAGTTAATATAACTATAATTTTGAAAGTGAAAATTTAATTGAAATATGTTGGAAAATTTACACGTTTTCATCTGAAATCAAGAAAATATGAACTTCAAGCAAAATTGTCAGAATATATGGGGTAAAGATGGTATCATTTTAAACTGATGTTGGGAGGACATAAGCTAATAAGAATTTTTTTTTTTTAATTTATCTTTAACTGCAGCCTACATATATCTTTGTTGGTTATTGCTCTTTGACATGTGTTAGTGTGCAAGCAATACTAATAAATTCTTTAGACATTTTGATGTAATATATGATTTTTTTTTTTTTTATTACTTTTATTTTCAGGTGTTTTATGCAATGAATTTCATCTGTATCAGTGAAATATACATGTATCTTTCTGCAAGGATTTTTTGCAGTATGGCAAAATTCAGATATTGTCCTTTTTCTTAACGGTTTTTAAATTGTCTCCCCAACTTTTTTTTTTTTTTTTTTTTTTTTTTGCTCTTCTAGACTTGGTTCAGGCAGTGCATGCCGTAGCATGTATGGTGGTTTTGTTGAGTGGGACATGGGACGTTGCAATGATGGCTCTGATTCTGTTGCCCGACCTGTAGCCTCGAATGAACACTGGCCAGAGTTGCGGGCTTTGATTTTGGTTGTTACTGATGACAATAAGAAAACAAAAAGTACTGAAGGCATGCAGAAAAGTGTTAATACAAGTGAACTGCTTAAAACAAGAGTTGAACGAATTGTGCCACACAGAATCAATGAGATTAAAGAAGCAATCAGAGATAAGGATTTCGATAGATTTGCAGAAATTACTATGAAGGTAATTTATGTTTAATGGATTACTTTTTGCATTTTTTTTTTTTTTTTTTTTTTACATTAAATTTCAAATAACTTGTAAGATTTTGAGGATTTTAAATCTTGTTAGCATTAGAATTCATTGATCACGGAAATATTGTAAAACCAATTGTTGATGAAAATATTCTGACCTTTTAAAAAGGAAGGTTCGGAAGGTAAGACACTTTTAAAAGGCTCCTTGCACCACCAGCTAAATGATTATAGACTGAAATATCAATGTCCAGTATTTACATATCCCTGAACCAACCAAATGCTTACAGGTTCAAATATAAAAAAAATAAATAAATAATTCACATTAAATAACTTGACACAGTGGACATGCAAGTGGACACTTGACATTTTTGGAAAAACTTTCCCGTGTGATATGTACTGTATCTAGTCTGAAAGTAGATGGTCTCAAGACAAAAGATATTTAAAATTTAGTTCCTTTCATATGTTAAATTGCTTTTTGTGCCAAATACTAGTTTTTGCCAATAACTGTTCTCTTATTTATAAAATCATGATCTAGATCTATTTTGTTTTTGGGAGTGCTGAACATGCCAGGACTAAATGGCTTAAATGTAAACTTTAAACTATTTTCTGGAATAATAGATCTTCACTGCAGACCAGGGTTTTAAAACCTAAACCTTTATTTTTAAATACAATTTTCAAACTTTTGTTTTAATCTTCCTCAACTAAGTAAGTACATAATTGAGCTGATAATCACTTAAAAGGTTAAAAATCTACACGTGCCCTTGTTTGAGTCCATTGTGCTCAGTAAACATTTAAGAAAATGCAAATGCCATTTGAAAGTCTGTCAACTTAGTTTAAATGGATGCCTTCTATATATCTAAATGATAAAACTATAATTTTGGGGAAATGAAAATTTCACTGGGATATGTTTAAAAATTTCCAAGTTTTGCTATGAAATCAAGAAAGTTTAAGTAACGTGGTCATGGTATATTTGGGGTTGGGGAGTCATGAGTTTTTAACAGATGTCAGGAGGATATGGGTTAAAATCTGTTGATAAAACTAGTAGCAAGATTGCCCAATCAAAATCTAAGAGACTAACCCTAACCAGTGCAATTTTATGACACTACAAAAACACATTGATCAAGCTCCCACAAAAATCCAAATTCAACATGTTGAGTTAAATGAAATAGCTTAGAGAATTTAAAATTTGATATTATTGCAGCAGTTAAGTTTTTTTTTTTTTTTTTTTTTTTTAAATTTTACATTGGCATTCATCTTATGGGCAATTAATGTAGCAGCTAATCCACTTCTGTTATTAGACCAAGTAATTATGAAGAGTTACTTGTTTTCATGATTGCATCATTAACATGTTAAATCTACTATGAGATGACAGGCAAAAAGGACAAGTTTAGAAAGAATTAGCTTCACACAATTCTAATACTAATTGTGCCATTGGCTATATACAACCAAAAGTTCACCTATGTCCACTGATTCTGCTTTCTGTGTCATTAATAATTTAATCAGTTTGTCTTTGGAAATGCACATTAAAAAATATTACAATATTATTAAATTCATCACTTGTTAATATTGAGTACATTATTAGAGATTTTGTTATAGACATGTTCAAGAAATAATATACTTGTGAGTTACATATTGGAAAAGGAAAGTAATTTTTCTTTGCAGGAGAGCAATCAGTTACATGCCGTTTGCTTGGATACATTTCCTCCAATTGAATATTTGACGGAAGTTTCGCGCAGAATCATGAATTTGGTACACCGTTTTAATAAACTCTGTGGTCGGACTAAGGTAAGTTTCTTTTGACCTTTTTTTTTTTTTTCTTTAAATTAATTACTGAGACTAACTGAGTCTAGTCCTCTCATCTTTGCTATCTTCATCTCAGCACTTCAGCCACTGTATCATGCATTTTTTTTTTTTTTTTTTGTCTGAATTTCTAAGGCGGGCTGTTGTTTGTCTTACATTGATTCTTTCAGACTGTTTGCATTTTGTCTTTAACATGTTTGAGTGCTCTGGCCTTTGTTGGATTAGTTCCCTTGGAAAGACATTAGATATGACATGTATATAAATGATGAAACATTCCTGCAGCTTGAATAAAATGCCCTGTTTGACCTTCCCAAAATCTTACTGAATGTGAAGCCAGATCTCTAATAAAGATGAGAATATGGATCTAAAAAAAATTTGTGTAATATTTTATTAATAAAATCTGTTATATCTTACCTTTTAAATGTTTGGATTTAATTGATATTAAAGGAAATGTATTTGCTGTTTAAAATTCAATTCATAATGTTGGAGTTACTAATCTAATTAGATTAGTCTTTCAAAAGACCCTTCTTTACACTTCTTTAAATTGTGCACCTTTATATTGGCAAATGACAAAATTTCTGAAAGTGATGACTATTCTCTTCATATTTCAGGTTGCCTATACATTTGATGCAGGTCCAAATGCTTGTCTTTTCTTACTGGAGGAAGATGTTCCTCGAGTGCTCTCTTTAATTCGTCACTTCTTCCGTCCTGTCAACAGTTGCTTTGAGTCATTCATTCATGGCTTACCAATTGAAGTCCCACGAGTGACAACGGTATGTCCTTGTTATTTATTGTTTTTGTTTTTTTTTTTTCTCTTTCTATTGAAAAATAGTTTCTTTTTAAATTGAATTTGTCAAGATTCATAATATGGTGGTTTAAAAGAATACTTTGTTAGGTTATCATAAGCTCTTGACTTGCTGAATTTTGTGTGGTATTATGATTTTAGAAAATAGTAAATACTGCATGTAAGATGACCTTTTAACCCCCCCCCCCCAAAAAAAATAGGGGGCTGTCTTACTCTGTATAAAATGTGAACCTTAAATTCTGTGGTTTGTTAGCATGGGAGATTTTTGGCAGTAAGCTAACACCTGCCTTGCCTCCTTTTTTTTTTTTTTTTTTTAATGATGTTGAACAAAAAAACACAACTGGCTGTGTGTCTCAACAAGCCATTTAACGATTGCATTTGAGAACTGGAATGAGTGGGTGGTTAGCAAGGGGGCGTGGGGAGTCATTCAGGCTACTGTAATAGCATACCGAAAACAACACCCGTAGTTAATTGACAATATCTACCCACTCTTTTCATCAGAATTTGAGTGAAAAGAAAGTATATGCCTACCAAATTTATTAAATAAATTCAATTTAATAAATTTTAAAATACAATGGGAAGGAGTGGACTTGTATGGCGAATATAGCCCGAAACCTACATTTTTACTTGAAAATTTTAGGTGGGGGTCTTATGCACAGTCGCCTTGTACACCAGCATATATGGTACCTACAATTGTAAACTTACAATATGGCCCTCATCCAAACTTCTCACTGGTCGGCCAATGATTGCCCTATGTTGCATTCTGATTCTTGATTTTGTTGGTATGCACTGAAAGCTGGGGAGGGGCATGCTTCATGTTTGCAAGATAACACAATGAAAAGCAAACACCATGTTCCTGTTATATATGTAGACGTTTTATTCAGGGCTTTGCCTGCTCCTCTAGGTGAGTAGGCAGGTGATACTTAGAAACAATGTCAGCTCTTTCCTCTGCTAACTTGTTGCTCATTTACTCATCCAATGTGGTGGTTGGCATTACAAATGGAGGCTTTGGAACTGTGCAAATGTCACATCCTCCGTCTCCCACCAAGGGTGGACCAGAACTCTCCCCAATCCAGAACATGACTGTTAACATAGACCAGTGCCTGGATATAGCTTATTTCCAGTTTTGTTGCCAGTTGATCTCCAAAAACTGTTAATCCATTCCTTTGCTTCCCTTTCTCTTATGGTCAAAGCAGATGCCATTTAGAAGCTGAAGACTGAACTTTAAAAGGAAGTATCTGCTGCTCCATGAAATGGAACGTGCAAGATAAAAGTCCCATAGTATCGCACAATAATTGCCTATAGGAATGTATGCAAACTCTTTTTCATTTTCTGTTAAGGATTTGGGTTATCTTTCAAATATAAAAAGTAAAATCTTTAAATTATCAGTATTTTAGGGTTCTACTCAATATTTGTATATTTAACTTGTATTGTTATAATTCTAAGGAAATTAGTCAAGTTTTTGTTCTTATTTAAATTGTTTTACTTGCAGGATGATGTTCTTACAATTTCCATGGGAATCATGCCAGATACAATTCAATATGTAATCTATACTAATGTGAGTATTTTTTTTTTCCTTTTTGTTTGTTTCATTTTATTTTTCATTATCTGAACTTTCTTGAGTGGACATTTTTCTTGTTTTTTGTTGTCCATTTCCTTTCTTGTATTAGGACACCTGTGTGGCTATTATGAAGTGTTTTCTTTCAAAAATTAAAAATAATAAACAAAAGTTGTAGTGGAAGAATAGAGCTACAAAAACAGAACTGTGGTAAAATGCTAAAATATTTTGCATGTTAATTCAAATATCATTGGGGAGGGGGCGGAAGTTTATCTGAGAATCTAATAGTCAAGTTCTTGTAACTGTTTAACTTATCACGACCCCCTAAACCAAGAACTCTGTCATGATGTCCAAAAATCAACTCACAAATCAAAAAAATCCTCAAAGAAGTAAGAACCAACTAACCAAAAATTCCAAAATAAACCATGCCAATGATTCTCCTTAACAAAAATAAACCAATTCAACATATTTGAAAAAAATAGAAACAAGGCAATTCTCCAAATGAAAAACTTGATCAAATCTAAAACTCCCAATAAATAAACCTTATGCTATATTATGAGTCCTAAAATCATTTAATGGAAGCTCTTGTCAAAATAAGAAATTCTCATATGAATCATTTTTCCCCAAGGTTAAATCACTTGATGGTCAAAACCTTCAGTATAATCTATTTCTCTTTCATGTTTTCACAGTTAATACTGTTAAAGGAACATTTAATATAATGTGATTATAATAGCAAGAGTTATTTTCTCATTGTTAGCCAAGAAATATTTTAAAGTGCCATTTTCTCCTGTTAAAGCTAACTTTTAAATTTTATGTTACTTGTATTTTTCATATTTAAATTTTACTTTTTAAATTAAAAAGAAATCCCTTGTATATAAAACACTTTAAAATATTATGGAAATGTTCTTAGAATTAATATATAGAAAGGCTCACATGAAAACTAACCTAAGATTTTTATCCTATAAGATAATTTAGTTCTGGATAAAAAAAAAAACAAACCCTGAAGTCTTTGATATTAAATAAACCAATGGGTGTGAGTTGACATGTCATAAAATCAACCAACCAAATCAAACCATAAAGATGGAGTAGTTATACATAAAGTGAATCCTACTGACATTAATAAATATCTATATTTCATTATCTCTATCTATAAAAGGCAGGATGTGTGTGTGTGTGTGTGTGTGTGTGTAACGAATGCACAGCCACAATTTTTGACGGATTTGCACCAAAATTTACATGCACATTCTCCAAGTTAGCAGGAAGGCCAAGACCGACTTTGCATTTCCCAACTTCCATCGATAGTGGAAATAATCGATGTTTTTCATGCTTCTATGGTAGTTTTCATGTAGTTAGCGGCCATTTTGTACTGGCCAGAGTGAGAGCCAATAGCTGACTGACATGAATAACTAGCATGCTAGCATGCAAAAAAAATCGATAGCTGCATTCGTCATAAGTGGGAAAAACTTAAATCTGCATGGCACTTTACTCTAATTGGCTCATTCGCTTGCTTAAACTCAACGTTGATTCTGATTCCGCAGAACTGGGTTGGGTGTGAAAAAGTATTTAACATTCTTTTTTCATTTGGTTTTTCCAGTTATGAGTCCTTTTTTAAATCTGATTGTTTTGTGTTCATTTTGTTTAGTTCTTTTTTCGTAACAGATTTAATGTTTAGTATAGAGCTTAGAAAAAATTTGCAGTGTGAGATAGGCAAGAAGTAAGGTATGTAGCAACATCAGCACGGCAAAGGGCAATCCTTTAAAGGCAAGGAAGGGCAAAAATATTTTAAGTCAAGTGATAGCGATTGCTGTATGAGTCGTACGATTTTTCTGCTAGTTTATTATAAAGTTTAAAAACATAATTTAGCAATCAATAATAATATCTCAATACAATAAATCCTCTATATAAGAGTGTTGTTTACAAATTCACTTTACCTATTGGAGAAAGTATCACTGAAAATAATAAAAATCTCATTTATGTTATACAGCCACAGCCCTTTCTCATAGACTCACTTATGCCTAACCAATACAATATGACAACACATACAAAAATTACAGTTGTTGATAATGCAAGAATACTTATTAAAGAAAAGAATAAAAGTCAAAATTATAGAAATTATATTAAGTTAAAACAGCCAATAATCAACGAAATTACTTATAATGTAAGAACAGGCAATCTAAAATATATTTAAATCCCTCAGACCAATGTGGTGCCATATTCATGTGAAAATTAAAAAATTAAAAATAACTTAAAATTGAGGTACAAAGTCATGAGATTTTAATAAAACGCACTTTGCTTCTCGACAAAGACTTAAGTCAGTTGAAAGCTTGATATGAACTGTTAACTATGTAATTTCAGTTCTAATATACAGACATTAATTGGTTGATTAGACATACTATTTAGAAATAGTATTTCATTAAATTTGTTTGACTGAAAACTTGCTGCCTAAATACACTCCTCTTGTTCATATAACCCAGCAACCCACTGTAGATGAACATTGAATAATGATTGAAATCACTACATCAGCTGTAGTACATAATAAACTAATTTAATTATCACTTTCAAAATATTTTTTTTAATAATGACTGAAGCCTGTTCAAAGCTCGAAATATTAACAAAAATTAATATGGACTGTGAACAGTTTTCACTTTCAACACTAAGAAAACTTATTAAATAATATAAAAGACAGAAATTGTTTGATTGGACATTTGTTTCCTTAAATACATGTCGCATATGTACAATATTTGTTGTGCAGAAAGATTCCGTTTACGTTTAAGAGGAGCAAACTTTTTTGGTCCAAGGGAGATAACAAAAACTAGTTTTTGTCAAGAATTAACTCCCTTATTTTATTTAACCATGAAGATGATTTTATTTTTATTCGTTTTTAAGAATTTGATTCTTGCTTTTGTAATTAGGATTTTTATGCAATGCTTAATTGAATCCTAAACTGTAATAAATTCTTTTTTGATTACTATTATAAGAAGTATGGGGCTTCGTTATGGAGAACTGCATCAAATAATGAAATACTAATAAAACCCAGTCCATCTAGTGATGTATTAGAGTGCAAGCATTTACATTTCCTGACATAAAAGACTCCAAAAATATCTCCAGTGTCTTGTGAAGTTGAGGTATTCACTGAAAATGTTTTTTTTCTTAATTTTCTATATTAATATTGGAGTGTTAATATTTTGTCAAATATAGGAGTTGAAATCTGTCAAATTATCAGAATTATATTATTTGAAACGACTAAGCTCTTGTCCTGTGTGGCTAACTTGAAGCCTTAAACTTACTCTGCCTGCTGATTAGTGCTAGCACTTCACTAACGCTTCTTTTATTGTTGTAGAATATCGCATTTACCTCATAAAATAGTCTCACAGGACAATAGTTTAGTGGATTATAGCCTTGACTTATAAATTTGGTGACATAGTAATTGTGAGGTCAATCTTTAGGCTGGGCAATGTCTACTAAGACACTGGAAACATGGCAAGCAATAACTGAGCAGTACTAAATAAGAACTAGACAAGATATCCCTGGAGATGAGAACAATCTGCCCATGTAGATTAAATAAAGGGTTCAGTTCAGTATTCCTTATAGGTTAGCCGCATTGACATACATCTGAAGAAGTCTGAAAAGCAAAACTGAAATGTGGCAATAACAAAGATGAGGACGATAGTTTGCATGTGAATAATGATAATTCTTCATTTCAGGAATTCAAACAAAACTTTTTGAAAGTTTTAAATAATTTTATTCACCCCCCCCCTTTTTTTTTTAGTTATTCATTTAAGTGGAAAGAATTCATTTTGAGCAGAAATAATTCTAGATTTAGACATTTTAGAAAAATCTTCACTGTTATACTTTTAGTGAGGTATACCAATCTGGAGTTTGGAGAAACTTGTTCAATATTTGAATGTCTGCTTATAGATTCCAGCAAGTGCATGTAAAACTTTCTGAAAATTTCAGAGGTGTCTTTATTGTCAATTCATTAGTGTTTCAGACTAAATTTAGTTATTTTTGGTTTTATAAATGTTTTGTTGACTTTAAATAATAACTACAAGTATAATATGTAATATGAAACTTTGGCTTTTATTTTAGGTTGGATGCGGTCCTCAGAGGTTGGATGACTGTGACCATTCACTCCTGGATGAAAAAGGTTTTCCTAAGCGCTGTAGATGAATTTTAAATAACACTGAACTTGGGAGAAAAAGAAGAAAAGATATACAAGACAAAGATTTGAAAAAAAGTAAAAATAAATAAAAACAATGAGACTGAACAGAAGTCAGCCACTTGAGATTTTCATCAAAGCAAAGAATGGGTTTATTCCTTGTTTTGTCTCTGTGTGTATGTGAATTGGCCACTTTGTATATTTCTACTGATCCTAGCCTTGAAAAACAAAGCAAATAGTTTTTTTTTTATCATTCATTGCTACACCCACCACAAACAAATCTAACCCATTTTGCAAAAAGAAAAGAGGAAAAAGATTATGCATTTGGAATTTGATTGTGGCTGACCAACCAACCATACCAATGGTGGCTTCATTGGAATATTTTCTATTGAAAATCTTGCAGAAATTCTGTGGCTGACTGACTATACACAATTGACATAAATCCTTCACTTTTACCTTTTTAAGGACCTTTATTACGGCTGCCCGTCTCTCTTCAAGATGAATGGGTGTGAGAGACTTTAGACAAGAAAAATTCATAAATCCTCAATTCTCACTTGTAAAAAAAAAACAAAAAAAAAAGGCAAAAAAAAAAAACAGTCCATTAGTAAATTTAGTGTGTAAACTTTCTTCCATTCCTTTTCCACAAGTTCTGTTTGATAATTGGTAAAAGACAAGCACACACTGGCATTGGTTTTAAAAAAACCTTCAATAATAGTACACAAACCTTGTATGCAGCAATGTTGCTTTTGTTTCTACCAAAGATTTTCTTTATTATACATAGTGTATCTCTTCTCATTTAGGGGATGTAATGGGATCAAAAATCATTGACACTTTTAAAAATTTCATAGATTTATTTTGTTTCATTTTTTTTTTATTACCTTTTTAATTTTTTTTCTTTCGTTAATTAATAAATTTTTTTTTTTTTATCTTTCTTACTAGATTCCGTTATGCCATCACTATTCTAAATGAAATGAAGACAGATCTCGCTTTCTGACTAACAAGGGAGATAACTCTTTTATATCATTTTTTCCCCTTCTTTTTGTGCCTCTTATGAATGCTGATTGGTTCCTGACTTACGATAACTTCTCAGCTTTTGATGGTCGACAATTTGTAAATAATGAAAATAAAGAGGAATGGCAAGAAATGATTACATGCATTAAAATCAATTCTTTGATTAAAAAGTATAATTTTTCTATTATTAAAAATAGAATCCCCCCCTCCTATTTTGTGGGTAAACAACATTTATTGAAAAAAGTCTTAATTTTATAACCCACCCATTTCACTTTGTTTTTAAATTAATCATTAAAAAGAGGTAAAAATTTATTTCAGTTGAGTCTTTTTACGCTTTGTTTATTTTACAATTTTAGTCTTGGATATTAATTCTTCAGCCAGAAACAAATGACTTGTTACTGAAAGAAAAAAAATGCATTTTCTGTATGTTGCGAACGATTTGGATTTGTTTAAAAATGGCTTAAAAACAGTTATACTCTGTATTCATTGCTTGCTGAGAAAAACTTTAAAAAAAAAAATTTAGTGGAAATTTCTTCATTGAAAGTTATTTTATTAAAATATCCTTCCACATTTTTTTATTTTATTTTTTTATTTTAACAATTTTTTTCTTTTTCTTTATTTTTTTTAAATTTTTTTTTTTTTTTCTCCCCCTGTTTAGAAATATTTTCATGGTAAGCAAAATCTTTCATACATATTAAATAAGTTTTCTTTTGTTATTTTGTCATCAACAAATGGGTTACAAACAAGCAAAAAAAAGACTTGACCACTTTCATGATAAAGTGGAAAATCTTTTCAGCTTCATTTGCAGCTGAAAAGATTTTAAAAAAAAAAAAATCTAGTCAATCTCTTTTAGGAGTGAAAAATCAATTTTTATTTAGTTTGAATTTTATCGGTTTTTTTTTTTTGTTTTTGTTTTTTTACCATTTAAACAGACAAAAACAATTAAATCTACATGTAAAATTTCGTTTTTGAACCATTTTTTTCTCTCCATTTTCTTACAGAAAGTAAACATTAAGTGTAGAAAAAAAAAAAAAAAAAAATTAACAATCTGCAAATGCATTTGAAACACAAATAAGCAAGTATTTAGAAGCAACACAAGGCCAGCATGCACCATTTGCATATGCTTTATAAGAGTTGAAATATATGTGGAAACTCGGCTTGTGTGTAATTACATAAATTCTGGTATTATTAAAGCTTAAAAATATTCATTTCATTCCATCTGGTGGTAATGACAAAGCACTTGTTTGATCCCCACTGGAAAATGTAGCCTTGTCAGACTAAGCTTAGAAAGATGGCTAGTTGAAATGAGATTATTTTAAGATTGTTTCTTGTTAATTGACTTCTCACTAGTTGCTCTATAAATGTGGCCTTATGCCAGAGTTGGTTAATCTTACAGTAATTCTCTCATTGAAGCCTAAATGACCAAATGTACACATTCAGCCACTGCAGTTTTATGTTATCTGGCTTTGATGCAGATGACTTTTCTTGTGCATTTGTTTCTATATTTTCATGTTTGGCAGTGTGGGGCTGGCAGAATGGTTATCAACATGGAAAATAGAATTGGCAAACTGTTCATTTCACACTGATATTAAGAAAGGCATGGATCCACTTCTTACATTGTCATATTGCCAAATATCTTACTAAAAGTCTTGTCACTAGCATGCCATAATAAGTGAATCACTATTTTGAAGTGATTTCCGATAGCTATCAAGTCTGCCCAGACATTATTTATTATTATTTCTACAGGAATGCATCTCCAAGAGATATTCATTTCTAAACTTTTTTTTAAATATTAAGAGATGGGAAGTTTGCTATGTAAATTCATTTTAAATTGACTCTATGCTGTGAGTAAGAATGTTTCTATATATGTATTTTGCTTCTGTTTTATTTAACACAATCGAGGAAAGATAACGAACATACCTTAATATCAGTTTAATTTTTATTTTTATTTTGTCACAGTTTCAGATAATTTCAACTAAGTACCTGCATCATAATGAATTTATATGTAAAATTTTTTTTTTAAATTTATTTTAAAAAAATATATATATATATATATATATATATATATATATATATATATATATATATATATATATAATATATATATATATAATATATATATATATATATATATATATATATATATATATATAATATATATAATATATATAATATATATATATATATATATATATATATATATATATATATATATTATATATATATATATATATATATATATATATATATATATATATATATAATATATATATATATATATATATATATATATATAATATATATATATCTGAAGTGCTTTTACAGTTGTAATATAGAAGAAACAAAAGATTATTTCTTGGAGAAGTATGTTTCTGTAGAAATGCCAAAAATAAGAAAAAAACTAATATTTTCCTTGCCATTGATCATATTTCTGTATCTCTGCAGGAAGGCGGAGAAACCATCTTTTATTATACAATGATGAAGGCAGCAGTGTCACCAGTTTTGACACACAGCAGGGATTTAAATTTGGAATTCTGTGTTTCTATTATGAAATTGGTGCTACACACACTAAAAGAAAAAAAAAATGTTGCATTGTGTTAGACTTTTTAAATCTCTAAATAAATATAATGCACTTTGAAACTTACTGTAGATTTTTTCTTTCTCAGTTTTCAGGTCTAGATTCTTAACTCTGAGAGACTTTTTTTTTTTTTTTTTTTTTTCCCTATGCTATCTGTTGATTAGTTTGAAGCCATTTTGTTTAGTATCCAAAGTTAATCCTTGTTTTCTGAAACAAAACTTCAACAAATTTAAAGAATCTTATGAAACCTGGACTGTAACTATTTCTTTCCATTAAGAATATTGATAAATGCATTCTTTCTGCTCCAAACAACTTTTATTAATTACCAAGGATGTAAACCTTTTTTTTTCTTTTTCTTTTCCTTTTTAAAATATGCAAATAGACTGAGATATCTTGAGGCATTTCCTAATTTTTGAACATCTTATTCTTGAATTGAATTATAATTGGAGACATTTTACAGCAGGAAGGCAGTAGTTATGCAGTGAGTGCCTTACAGGCTATTTTGCCAATAAGACAGTATCCCAGTCACAAGGATCTTAATCTTTGCAATCAGTTCATGGCAATATATCCTGCATCTCACAAACAAAAGCATTCTGATTGGTCTCCTTTTTTTAAGTAAGTTTATTGGACTGGCAGAATGGTTTTCTTTAAATTAAGTTATTCACTCTGATTTAACATTGAACTCTCTGGATTTCATCCTCCTTGGGATTATCCATATGGATTACCAAGATTTTCATTACTCTCTCATATATATATATATATAATATATATATATATATATGCACTAGCATTGGAGCCCGGAGATGTAAGAGATAGATCAAGTATTGACCATCATAAAGACTGAAAAATAAGATTGTTTAAGGTTGACTGACATGCATGTCTTAGTTTTTGTTTGTTGTGTTTTTGTTTTGTTTTTTTTTTTTTTTTTAACGAATTGGTCAAACCCAAACAAAAACATTGTTTTCAATTGTTATGAGTCTACCGATTGAATAGAATTTTATTATAAACAATTGTCTTGTAAATGGAATTTTTATAGCATTCTGAATGTAAAAATAAAGAAAAAAGTGTGCAAGACAATAAGAAACACTACTTGCCAAAAAAAATAAAAAAGTGAATTTTTGTTGAAAAATGTAGGAAATCCGATCCCATATATAAACTCACACAACCTGGGTTTTATAATAAGTATGAGATATATATATATATATATATATATCATACAATTTTTTAGTGGTGAACCTATGACTCCTATTTATATAGGAAGAATAGCAATATCATGCACGTGTTTCTTTACATAATGATTTCATTTTTCAAATGTATTTAGCATATCTTTAACCCTTCCATTGCTGTGGAAATATTTATATCTATGAAACTTAAATTGTCTGCTTTGGATATCAATATACGTTTTCAAGGCACCGTAAAATA